CTCGAGAAAGGGAAGCGCTGGCTTTCGTTTTGCAGCTTCTCAGGTAGGTAGTGTTTGTTTCCAGGTCAAAGTAATGCATGTCGCATACTATCCATATACTGAATATATCATACTAATTATATATATATACAGTATGCCTATGCTACCCACCGGTACCTATATTTCAGACGCACACCGCTGCAGTTGCAATTTCCCAGGAGTCAAAGACATGATATGTTTTTTTCCTGGCTGGTGATTGCAACAGTTCTCATTAGGAGCTTAGAATTCTGTGCAACTAACAACCAACATAGCCCTATATATAATATGTAATCTAAAAATGAAGGGTGAACAAAACGGATGAATTTACAAAGGGCGCTCCACTGCCCTTAGATGAGAATAGAGCCCTTACAAAAGACAGGCTAAGATATGTCCGTTACATGAGCCCAGCACAGAATCTGATTTTGGTATTGTGCCATCAAAGAGGCCTTTTTGCACAAAAGGCGCCTCACCCACAGTATTAGCCACTAATATGATTATAGTAAGGGTGCTTTGCATTTTATGTCTAGAAACATTGTCTTAATAACATCAACAGTACAGCAAACTTGCCATGGAGATTAAACTACTGCCTATTATATGCTAACAACAACTACTGTTGCTTGTTTTTACAACATCAGGTCTATGACATCAGAGCAAAGCAACAGAAATTCAATGTCCTGCAACCAAATAATAAGGTGAACAAAGTTGATGCCTTTAAACTGAGTGCTCTACCGCCCTTAGATCAGAATGGGCCCTTGTGAAAGATAAGTCCTTCACCTGAGTCCCACCACAAACTTGTGGTCGTGTATCACAAAAGAAGCCTTTTATTGTGCACAGTCCAACAATTTTGGATTGAACATTTCATCTCTAGCAACCACGCCCTGAAAATGCACCCACTCCAGACAAACCTACACCTAGAGACCAGCAGTTTTGAGGGTTTGCTCCTTACCTTATATCCACTGGACTTTGGACCGGGTAAGTATACCAGTATACCCTACTCCAGTTGCCACACTCTGTGATTTGCAGGAGTTTCCAAACCCTTCTGGTCACGGTGGCATCGACCCAAGCCGCTTCTCGAAAGGCTGCCGGCGTGACCTTCGCTCTACGGGAAAAGGTCCCGTCAGCGAAGTCGAAGTGGTCACTGGGAAGAGGAGGGGAGAGGATACTAAAACCTTGCGAAGTGGTTCAGCTGGACCTCTTTCAGTATGTTTCTCCATTTCTTTTCCTTTTGACAAAAGTGGTGTGGACATGTCCTCGGGATGTTTTTGTTGGAAACATTCGGAAACAAGTCCTTTGCCCTGGTGTGTGTGTGTGTGGGATTGTGCATATTGAAAACCATCCCTTTGTTCTTGCTTTCCTGTCCAAACAAAATGTGCTTCCAAGAACCGAGGATTGCCGAAGGGTTGCGTCGCTTGATGTCGCTTGGGCCCTCGCCAGGTAACTGCTGACGAAGAGGACGAAAAGCCCACTGCTTCACCCGACGAAAGCTGCGACTTTTGCCGCTGGATCTGAGAGGAGGGTGGAGCTGGGGTGCTCCAACGGTGGAGCTGGGGTGCTCCATACACAGTGGCTAGCTGGCGCGAGCCGGAGGGAGCGGCTCGGGAGCGAGTATCCATATTCCCCAAACAGGTAGCTACAGGGAGGTCTCAACCACTTGCTAGCTAATTCGCTAATTCCAACGTTGGACCACTAAAGGAGATTCAATCTGACCCAGAGACATCGGAGACAGTGCCGCTGGAAAGAAGTGATCATTAAACAACGCCAGTCAGTCAGGGTGAAAGGCTTTTCTTTCCCTGAAAAGCTATGTCATTTGCTAGGTTTCTCGACAGTTTTTGTCAAGGCCCAATCATTCTGCCTTGGAGGCTAGGTGGATTATTGGTGTGACTTCCGTGAACCAAGAGAAAGCGAGGAGATTCTAAGATTCTAAGATCTTCGGAGCCTTGCGGGGTATCTGGGGAGCATGTGGAATTGCAGGAAAAGCTTGTCTACAATTCTACACAGTTCAGTGCTTGGGATTGTGTAAGCCACGTAGCTGAAAAGGGAAAGTTCTCGAGGTGATCATGTTGCTTGAATGTCATTTTCAACTTCCCCACTCTTGCACCCATAGAAATTAGCTGCAAAGGATTGAGCAAAGGTACTTTGAACAAAAAAGGATGGGAAGCGGGTACTTCAGCTAGGTTTGCTGATTGGAGAGAAAGGATCATGTGTTCCGTCCTGAAGGGTCAGAGGAAGTGACCTCTGCCATGTTCCGCATGCAGGAAGACAGGCCTTGATCATTTTGTTTTAGTGCTTAGGTGATCCAGGTGAACCGCGATGTGCAAATGAAAGAGGAGAAGCCACATAATGTAGGACTGTTGGTATTTCAACCTCCGGCTTGCCTTCCAGAGGTTTTGCGATCCATGTTTGGGGGGGTGAATTCATCAACAGACTACATTGCGAGGGCTTGAGCATAGACTAACGATGTTACACCAGCCAGCCACCAGCCAGTCACCGTCTCAAACAGCGGACCGAGACTGCAAAGGCATGACTCTTCGCACCGCGGACATGCAGTGGGCCGAGACCTCATGCGGTTGCGAGACGGAACACCAATGCAGGGAGCACATGGGAGCACCTAATAGCAATGGCCTCCACCTAGTAGCTTCTAGCTACTGGTAGCTTCTTGTTACTAGTAGTAATGGCCTCCAACCTACTAATAGCGATGGCCTCCGTCTAGTAGCGTCCTTGTTACTAGTAGCGGGTTCTGGAATAACAGGGCAACAAAGGTTCTGGACTTAATCACAAGCTGTTCATGGAGTTCCACGTGATGTACCACTACAAGCGCAAGCTGGTCATTGGCATTTGGGAACGATGAACATATCATGGACGCTTTGCACAAAGGAAACTTTGGTCAGCAAGTTTACAGCTTCGCTTCTTATGTTTAGAACGCATGCATGGTGTGTCTCACACTCTGAGTCTCCAGAACTGGAAAGCCACTTGCACTATCTTGCACTAGTCAAGGAACATCTTCTTCCCAGGAGCTATTGTCTACTTTCATGTTGGTGAGTGGGAGTGTATGCTCTATCCACTCGTGGGTGAACCAACCTTGGTGGGTTGACCACTCTCGGCGCAGGGGTTTAAGGATATTGGACTTGTCCATATGTGGCGCTGGTTGATGGACGTGACAATCAGTTCAGGCAAGGTTCACCAAGTGTCAGTATGAATCCAGTGGGTTTTTTCTCTCACTGGTCTCCTGAAGGGTAGAAGTGTTGATGTCCATTGAACCACCCGCACACGGGTGCGGCTGACCATACATGAAACCGCACACGACTGCCCGACATCTGCAAATTCAGGTGCAAAACAAATACATCGGCACTGCGCCGACCCGGCGCTATGGCCATACGGCCACTGCCATTGGCTGGGACCTCAGGCCACGGTAGTTTGGAACTCCAGTTTTTGGCCCAGACACACCACGGCTGATTTGAAAGCTCCGGCCTGTTGTTCCTAATGGCAGGAATGGTAGAATTGGTGAAGGTTTCACGCAGACTGTAAACTCGGATGCTTCGAGTTTATTCGAGTTTATGATTCTGTGACTTCACAGCTATGCATGCAACAAGAATCGGGAAGCTTGAGTACTGTTTTCACCCAGTAGATCATGTTGCCATCAAGCCAGTACTCAAATACAGTAGCTGCTGGCTAATCATAGATGCTGGGTTCTTGATTGCAAGCTGACTCAAGCAAAACTGCAAAACCTCTCAGGACCACATGAGGTAGATATGACAATGTGTATATAGTGTGTGTATATATACATATAGTAATATATAGTGTAAACGCATCATTTATAATGGTCTGGTCAATTTTTCAACACTGGGTACCAGACCCCTCCAATTGGTTTGGCCAACCTTGTATTGCAATTGTGTTCTTTTTTTTCCGATTAGTGTCCTTGATTAATACTTTAATTATGCTATCTCCAGTTCAGTGTTCCCTTCTCTTCTAAACTCCCTACCTCCCAAGACACCTTTTGCTCATGAAGTTCCCTCCTCATGAACTTTATTCTTGTGTTGAAGCTTGGCATTGAAAATTGGAACATAGTAAAATGATGAAAGGACACAAGAAAATATAGGAACATAGATATGTCGGACAAATATTAGGATCTATTAAGAACAAAACTGTGGAACAAAATAAGACAAAATAGGACAAACAATAGGGACAAATATGTCCTGTGTTTGGTCACATGCTTGGTCCTTTTTATGTCCTATTGTTCGTCCTAGGTCCTATGTCTTCATAATTGTTTACTACTTTGTTCGAGGATGTTGCTAAATTTGCGGTTAGAACAAGAATCTATGCAAATTTAGATATACATAGGAACATAATAGGAACAAAAAGAGCACACATGGTAAACAATATGTATGTGTGTTGTTTCCTATTGTTTTCCTAATTGGGATGCTCTATATATATAATATATTTCCTATGTGTTTCTAATTATTGTTATTTTGATCACACCCAGCGGAAGCTTAACTTCCTCAACGTAACTCTATTCTTTGGGATCCCTCCTCTTGAGAACCCTTAAAAAACAGTCAACCTTCCAACCTTCCGGGGGGGGCATTTATCAGTCACTAAACACACAGTGCCGATCCGCTTGTAACACACAGTGCCGTCCTCACAACTCCTTTATAACTGCCAGCACTCACTCTATCAATGCCCATCGCCAGATTCACCCGCCGATGCGGCGCCGATTCGCCCCACGGCCCGAGGTCCTCACGTGATCATCTTTGGTGGCTGGGCGGCGGACTCAGAGGCTTCGAGGCGGATGGGACTTGCATAGGGTAGGCCCACGGATGGGGCTCATCCACCCACCGGCTGAAGGCAAGTACTTCGGGTCCATAGTTCTGGGGAGAAGAGCGTGTGCCAGCCGGTTCCAGGATTAAGGAATGTGCTTGTGACTGACCTGACAGAGAATACATATATTATATATATATATAATTATAGGTGGATGGTTGGATTGGATTGGATTGGATTGGATTGGATTGGATTGGAGAGGAGAGGAGAGGATAGGATAGGATAGGATAGGATAGGATAGGTAGGCAGATAGATAGATAGATAGATGGCACGACCCAAGAGGTGCTTTTCACACCTTCCCACGCAAAAGCATTTGGTGATTGATGGGCATGGCCATGAATGGCCCTGATCCCTCAACTAGGGATCTCCCTAAACTTGTTGTGGAGGAATCAACTGCATCAATCCCCTACAATGAGGGGCTCAGAGGTTTCTTTGTGTTCGTGAGGAGGTTCCCACAAGGAAGGGGTCAATTCTCCAATGTTGCATTGGTGCAATGCTTGAACTTGAACTAGAGATGATGAAGCCCGCTACGGCAGCTTTGCAGTTCTTTGCAGTCCGTTGGCCGGTATTGTGATGGCCAGGCAGCAACACTTGTGATGACCAATAGGCCTTCCATGCGTTTGACAAATGTTGGAGGACGTTGAAGTCTGAATTATTCAAGAAAACCCAAGACCATTTCGGACCCGTTTAAACCACACCTTAAGGTTTGTGCTGCTTTCGATCTACGTTGCAACTGTATCCACCTCTCTTTGAATCCTTCATCCCACAACTTAATTTTCGCATGACACGCAGATTCATACGCACCGAGGACGGAGGAAAGCCCCTCAACGATGTCATCGTTTTAAGGGATCGCTCAGTAGCGGATCGTATCAAACAGGAGGACTGAAATGGGACCGGCTGAATCAAGCCAGGTGGCGGAATGTCAGGGACATGTTGAAAAGAAGATCACTGGAGTCACTGGAGGGAATGTAGAGGAATACTGAACATAGATCACCCATGACCCACCCAGATGTGGAATATAGGCAACGACAGACCATAGTTAAATAGGTTTTGACCAACTATTCAGTTGGTTTGGGCGAAGTTTGGTGAACGGACAGTTGTCAAGTTTGTGCGTGTGCTCAACGGGTGACCGTGATGGCAAATCCATTCTGCACTGTTGCGGTGGACCTATCTGGAGTGTTCGTCCATACTATATCACATATCCACTTTTTTGGCTATAATTAGGAAGTGCTTTCATTCTACCCCTATACTTCCGCTTCCTTTGTAACAAGTTGTCAGTTTCTTTCCTGCAAAAGACTATCCAGACGTTGGGGTAGTCCGACCCCTTGCCAAAAAGGTCACCCGAAAGGGTAGGACGACTCTGCTAGGAGATGTTCTTCGAGGGCTCTCCGAGTGGAGATCCAGGTGGAGGGTCAGATTCTCTTCGGAAGAAGACCAATGGATGAAGAATCAATGGTTCACCTTTGGCTCAACATGCCAGCATCAGATTGTTCATGGTTTGATTCTTCTTCGTTCTCGACGCGCAAGTGCCAAGCCACGTTCACAAAGATCCGAAGGCCCAGGTGAAGATCTACAGTTGCTGTTTACGAATGAAACACGTGCGCCGCTCACATGGCCTATGATCTGTCGGGCTGTTTGCCCCAACCGAATTTTGTAGTTGGGAGCATTGGGAGCGTTGAATAGATCTGCACGTAAGAGACGTAGGCCATATAGGGCCATAGGGATAGTTGGTGGTTTGGCCTAAGATGACCTGAATACATTTCGATATCCTTCCACCATCCTAAGGGATTCAAGAAGATCGACCACCGAGCCTGAAAGCTACCAACCCTACTTGTAGGGACACAACTGGGCACCCTAGTCCATGGTATTCCTGTGCAGTGATCATTTGGCCATGGTATTATGGTACTCCATGCGATTCTATGCGTATTTCCTCAATGTCCATTAGTATGGTGTTCATGACCATTTGCCTCCCCCGACCACCGAGCAGTGACCCAGAGTTCTGCGACGAATCAGCTGGAACAGAGTTCTGAGACGAAAGCCGCAAAAGTTCGTCATCACTTGGGTGATCCCTGAGGAGCGACAGTCTCCACCACAATGAGCTACATCACTTTTCACCAGCGGCAGGTGAAGATGACTTTGAGCTCGAGACGGGTGAGTAGCAGGAGACCGGTCTCGGGGTTTTTAGCCGGGAGGAGGACTGATTCGTGTGTCCACAAGGTGGGTGAAGTGGTTCACTTCCAAACATACAGTTTTCATATGTGTTCATTGGTTTGTTGCCCCAACTGAAGGTATTCGAATAAATTTTGCCTCCTAAGGGGCCGTTAATAGGTCGAGAGTGGGGATGAATGATACCGAACCCACATGGTTACCGAAGAATCAACCATCCTGTTGGGGAACTGTACAAGTGTTGCAGAAACATGACTGAATCATCCCTCTTCAATCTAAATATATAATATGTTGCTTTTGCTTAAATTCCGATGTCAAACGAAGTTGGAGGACCAGCATCCTTTGGCCAGGACGGGTAGCTTGAAAGCAGAGTCATAGCCTCAGTGCCAAAAAAGAGGCTTCAAAATGCTCCGAAGGAGTCTGCAAAACAGCAGGGTTTTGACGGGATGATGTGAGCAGCGAAGTCTTGTCGGCTGTTCGTTATTACCCCCCTTTTTTATTGGAGATGTAACACCATTCTGAAGACCGGGGGGGTGATATCCCAACCCTGACCTGGCAAGTCCACGTCTCTGGAAGAACGGATTCCGATTCCTGACGTCTTTCACTGTGAGGTTTTTGGGGGGGACGTCTCTTCACTGAAAGGGTCTACAGTGCTGTTATCTCCTCCAAGGCTCCCAGCAGGTCGCTTGGCTGACAGAACTGAGTACTGGGAGAAACGGAGGGGTCAGTGCTGTCTTGAGATGTCTGGAATTTGTAGATTTTAAGTCGATACAAGCAGACAAGGATGACAAGTCAAGTCTCTCAAGTGAGCTTTGAACTGAAAAACTGCACATGTTCACGACATCTTGATGTTGAACACAATTGAACTTGGGGAACATGCACAAAGTTTAGCAAGGACATAGCAAAGACGCTGCTTTTGCCGAAGGCAAGTTTCACACAGTTCACTCGAACATGTGATGCATGACTTATTGATCAAAAAGAGTCCTGTTCTAGGTGGGCGAAGTCTGCGAGAGCTGCATTGCCATCTTTGGATGTGAACCCAGAGCTGCATACTCACAGCATACTCACAGCCTTTTGACATCTCGCATCAGACGCATAAGATTCATGAAAGGTTCGCGTCACTCATGGATTGAAACGACCGGAGCACGTACTCCTGCAAGAAACCTAGGACTTGCGTTTCAACCGACATCATCCACATCCGAATAAGCACCACTAGTACTAGTATAGCTAGGATTTAGCCGCAGCATCGGAAGCACTGCCACCATGTTGTTGGGTAGTTTCCGGACACCCAGAAAAAGATCCCACAAAAAGCATTCGAAGTGAACATCTCCCGAAAAAACCGTTCTGTTTTTTCTTTTCATTGTTGAGATGTGCAGCGGGCTGTTGTAGGGCGGCACTTGTGCCACTGCCACATGACCACTGACCACTACAAGAATTGCCTCTCCAAATGTCTATATAAGTCCAACAGTCCAACGTGCGACCTTCCTGAGGCTTCCTGCAGATCCACAAGTAAGTAGTCATTTAAAAAGAGCAGTGGCAGTTGTATGAATATATATATATATATTGTCCCCACTGACCCCCAAGCAGTTTTGACAAACGACAAAGGCAAAAACGTGTGTCCCTGCGTCGTTCGAACTCTGCAGCTTGGCTCAGTGGGGTGACGTCCGGGCCAGTGTCGCTCATCATGTGGAGCGCCAGGAGACGAAGACGGCGTAGTCGTCGGTGGATCGGTGGAGACGATCTGACATGAGGGAACTGACCTGGTGCAGGAATGTGATTGGAGCGAGGCTCAGAGGCTGACTCAAGTTGACCTAAGTTGCAATGTCAAGATCCATCCACTTTCTGGGCTCTGTTCTAACATCACTAAACAAATCAGCAAAGTTCACAACATTCCTGTGAGTCAGCTTTCTCGAACCAGATGTCGTTGTGTGGCTCTGTTAGTCATTTTTCTGATGCGGGTGGAGCACACCCCAAAGTCTTGCTTGCACGGATCTTCATGCATTGCTCAGTTGACTTTGTTTTGCCCTCACCGACAAAGAGAGGCTAGTAGAGCACTGACACTGTACATAAACGATACATCAGGAGATATCAGGAGGATGTATGAGGACCAAGAGGATGGTTGACCACAATGAATGCAAGACTTGTACCTGATGTTTTTGGAATTCGGCGTAAGCCTGCCGGACGCCTGCAAACATGGACTTCAGATTTGATGCGGTTTCTTCATTTCCTCGAGTTGTGAGAAATCACCATATCTCCACCTATCATTCAGACAATAGTGGTTCTAAAGTTCTGCCAGAAGTGTCCACTGGATTGACCGCAAGGTTTAAGGTGTTTGCAATTTCACCTTCACATTTTGATTGGGTGACTTCAATGCAGACCCCCACATTGACAGGTGACAGTATTTGTCTTGGCGATGGATTGCGAAGGGTGACCCAACTCAGACGTAAAATGCACAGGTCGCAAACTCTGGGGGCGGGCTATAGGCTATGGGTTCTACTGTTCAACTTCTTATGGTTTCTACAAGAGGTTTAAAAAACGACGCAGGACTCCGCCCAGGCAGGTTGGTCAGCAGATTGTATAGGAGGATGAGGTGATGTCAGGTGGCCTTATTAAAATACAGTTGTTTCAGAGTAGATGGCACAACCCCCCAAGGTGTCCTTTAGATAGGGGTCAATATAAACCACCTTTTGGGGATTGTGCCATCTATTCTGAACCCACTGTAGAAGTTCTTTCTTTATGTTTCTTTATGTGTGCTTCTCCCCGTGGCACAACGCCGCGTGCTCGGCCAGCTTGGTAGCTCCCTTGGCCTCTTTGGACCTGCCGACCACCAGTCGTGGTGGCCCAAGGGAGGAGATGGCGGCAGTCGTTGAAATCTGAATCACCTGGTTGTGCTTAGGGTCAATCCCCTGGAAAATCTGCATTTTTATTCCGGTTCCTGAACAGCACGCCCTCAGGTCCGAGCCCATGGCACCCGAAGTCTCTTCACTCTCTTCACTCTTCACTCGGTGAAAACCACGTCCTTCAGATGTCCAAAGGCCTCACCGAACATCGCTCGCTCGTTGGATTCGCGAGATCTCGTTGGATTCGCCAGACTCAACCCCAAACATCGGGTTGATCGAAGTGCATTTACGGATCCACTCGTTCCACCGTTCCACGGCCACGGCTTGTGTGACCACGAATAGAAGTAGCAAAAGCGTGTGACAAGCAGCTGCCAAGAAGGCTGAGTTTGCTGTTTGAGCCATGTCAGTGGCCGTTCCTTCAGAGTTTGCTTCCACTTCATAAGAGTTGTTTGGATGTCACATATTGAATATGTTTTAGTGTATCATTATATCATGTTCCTGTTTCACTTGAAGCTTTGTTTTTAGCATACTCCCTTGTGGCTCAAGAATTGAATATTAAGTGGTCTTCCGTGTGAAGAAGCAACTAATGCATATCTTTGTGGACAATCATAAAGCTTTCCTATCAATTGATTGAGGTAAACCCGGACCCTGAATACTTCTCGGCTTTCAAGAGTGCTTCTCAGCGGAAATGTGAGGTCCGCAAGACTGCCTTAAAAAAAACGTTGCATACCTGCTGGGGGTGATTTAGAGGTCTGGATTGTAGGTGCTCCCGAACGTAAGGTTAGCAACGGGCCATGTGAAGTGAGACGCCTGACCCAATTTGGACAAAAGGTTTGGAATCCAGTATAGAATACATACTGATACATACAGTAGTGTATCTAATACAACATCAATGATAGCAAACTTCCGTGCTTTGTGTGGTCTATGCTAGGAAGATTGGTCGGCGCTTTGCCTGAGTTTGTTGCTGGCCAAATCCCTATACTCGATTCCGCGGTGCTGGTGCAAAATCCAATGGTGTCCTACACTGAACCCTGGACTGAAGCGGCAAGCGGCCGGCCTCTCAATCACATCATCCCAACAAAACCGAGGGCAGGAGCTGTTTCTGCCTCCGGCCTTCGCTTCCTCGCACAGTGATCGACCCTGGTGGGGATCCTTAGCGCAAGGGTCCCTTGAGCTTCAGGAACAGCTGGAACGGATCACCCAATCCACTTATCAATGGGAAAATGCATGACAATGCCCAAGAAGCCTCATCACGGGACAGTACTTGTACCAGAGGGCACAGAAGGACCAGACCGCTCGCCAGCTATTGGCAAACCTCCTGTGAACGTATTGTGGCTGGTACGACTCACATTTTGATCCACCACATCCGGCCTAGTGGTCCGACTTGGTTCCTCTTTCTGACTTAGAGTCATCCAAAGGCAGGGAACTCATGTCACGGTACCTCACGCTGCAAAAGATGTGATGTGTCATCCTGGTCATCCTACCAAAGATGAAGGCAATCATAGCAAGTCCAGTTGTCAATGATAGGAATCAGACCACCTGGCAGCTTGGCCTGCTTGACAGTGCTGGTTCTTGCCGCTCAGGCGCGGTGGCATTTCCCTGCCCCAGAGCCGTTGTCGAGATGGGAGGAGGCCGAGTGGTCCAGGTCGACAACGCGGTGGAACTGGCAAGATCTGAACAATTTGTGTAGGGCCACTAGTTGTTTGTCTCTTCAGGAGCCACACTGTACTCGTATGCACTATATATGTATTACTTATTATGTATCATATTATATATCGTGTATATATTGTATATATTTATATTCGAGCAACCGCCAAAACTTACCATGACTAATTTGATAAAGAGCGATCGTGATTTTCGGGAATTGATCAAAAACCTACAAAAGCATGGCTCAAACCTGCAAATGTGATAAGACTCCCTCTCAAAAGTGACAGTCTTGATGAATTGTCCTCTACTTGACAGTACGTTTTGGCAGATGCTCATATATAATAGTACTGTAATAATTAAGTAATTGTTGATATTTCATGTATCGTGTACTGTATATGAACACATACTCATAGTAGATCGCGGCAGGTAACTTGGGACTCAATTTGATGGATCTTCCTGCCATTTTTTCCTGTTTGGGACAAGTCAGTGACCGCTGCGACTGGGCGAAAGGTGCCGAATCTCAAGTAACAATTCACAGTTTCCTATGGATTCCCCGGAAGTTCCGCCAGTCCTACATGCAGAGCTCCTACATCTGAGATGTTTAAGAAACACCTTTTACGGCTTTTGACGGTCTTGTTTTATGGGGAGTCCTATGTGGCTTTGGAGGTGGAGGATTTCTTCCGCGGTTTGGTTTCTACACCACTGAATTTTTACACCACCAGGGAGAGTAGTAGGGACGCTACTAGGGTGGAGGCCATCGCTACTATACTGGCTATTTGCTACTACACGAAGCGACCAGAAACGACCGTCGACCGACATCTGTCAGACCGCAGGTCCCATGAGCGCACCTCGCAGACGACGGTGGGCGTCGGAGGACTTCTGCGACAGATCCAGTGGCTCCGATTGAAATTCATTGGACTGACTTGTGCCACTTGTAGGGAATGAGGGAGGATGCTACTAGTAGCTCCTTGCCTTACTACTAGTAAGAAGATGTAAGAAGAAGCTACTAGTAAGAAAGGGCATCGCTACGAACGGAGCAAGAATGCTTACTACATAGTGGCTCCTGGCATCGCTACGAACGGAGCAAGGACGCTACGAACGTAGGGTGGATCCAAAGGACTCCCTGAGCGAAACTGCCCTTATTCCCTACGCGTCGCACCAGTCAGTGGAGCGGTTGGGGATCCGAAGCGATGCGTATTTTTGGTCGGAGTACACCCAGTGTCATTCGAGTCAAATTTAGATAATTAAGGATGTTTTTTACG